CTGTCAAAGAAAACGGTTTCAAGTTTAGCCAGAGAAAACCAGCTTTTATAGGGGTGACTATATTTTTTTGAATACAAAGAAAATTATATATTTATTACTTTACTCCCTGATTACGAGTTATTAGATTAAGCTGATAGTATCTTTCTGACTCCTGAAAATATAATCAACTCTTACACACATATTAAAACACATGAAACGTTTTAAATATCCGTTTGCGACGCCAATAACGGGCAAGGGCCGTGCTCAAACAGCTGATTCTGGCTGGAGAAGCAGACGACACGAGTCAGAGCTGCGTTGTGAAGAGAGCGGGTCTGGGCGACTCTGAGGAGAAGGATTTACACCGCCTTTTTACCCGGTAAGTACGATATTACCCGCGTTTTCTCGTAATGCACAGTAAAGCTCTATCATACCCGCAGCCGGGAACGCAGATATACTAGCGGAGGAGGTAATCCCGGGAGAGAAATAGGCGAGTGAAATTCCCTTGGTGCAGCGAGGTCCTCGATTTTTAACCTGAGGTCCTGAGAGCTTGTTTTACCTGACTGGAATCCTCCTGTTTCGAGATGACGCGAAGGAGGAGCCAACGAGATATAATTATGCACTACCTCTTTCTAATTCCCAAACGAAGCAAATGGATTTCGCACCTGTATTTTATTTACCAGGCAGTGTATTGTCGGGATCCGAGATTGGTTGCCCGGGAGACCTAGTTGACTTGAGGCGGTGAGTATGCATCACACTCATTGGAAATCTATTTGCTATCGGCCGGTGCCAAGGGACTGGGTTTCGTCACGTGTGAAATGAGAGCATTTTTGGCAAAGGTTTAAGAGCTTCGGTGTAGCCTGTTTATGCGTGTTTTCTGATATCTCTGCTGCTTCTATTTATTGGGTGAAGGGAAGCATCATTTAAAAAAAAAATCTTGGCTTGGGATAATGCCGGTGTTTGCAGTGTTTGCCCTCAAGAGTCGTTGAAATTATTTTAAAAATGATAATATATGTAAAATATGAACTGACGCATGGCTATAATTATACATATATGTTTCATAACGTAAATATCACTAATTCAGTTTAGGAAACTGTTAGCATTTTAGGGATGGTTCATCCAAACAGTATTACAATTCTGCTTATCAACTTTTTATTATATGCTTTTTAAAACTAATTACTTCATACTATTTCCATGATTATATTCACCTCCATTATTTTCACTTAGATTCCCAACCCTCTCAGCCACGCTTTTGTCAGTAGCTCCTCCTTCCGAAGCTTGGCCGTGAAACCCATTAAAATTACCCATTTTCTAACCCTATATACTTCCCTTTTCATCATCAGTTACCCCCCCCTCCCCCCTTACTACTACGTAAATGTATTTATCACTGAGGATAAGAGGTTTCCAAATCTTCCCTTTTACAACCCCTACAACTGCTAATGGATGGGGGAGGGGGGGGGGAGTTCGTGATGTGCACACAGATTTTAGGTAGTTATGTATGGTAGGTGTGTCCTGGCACGTTTAGTGATCATTGGTATACATACACACGCGTTTAGAGATACACAAAGGTACACAAAGCACTAAGACACACACGTCCACGCACACGCAGCGCATACACACGCACACACACACACACACACACACACACACACACACACACACACACACACACACACACACACACACACACACACACACACACACACACACACACACACACACACACACACACACACACACACACACACACACACACACACACACACACACACACACACACACACACACACACACACACACACAGCACTTACACACACACACACAGCACTCACACAGCACACACTCACACAGCACACACTCACACAGCACACACTCACACAGCACACACTCACACAGCACACACTCACACAGCACACACTCACACAGCACACACTTACACAGCACACACTCACACAGCACTCACACAGCACACACTCACACAGGACGCACACGCACACAGACACACACACATGCACACACAGACGCACACACACACACACACACACACACACACACACACACACACACACACACACACACACACACACACACACACACACACACACACACACACACACACACACACACGTATATACAGTTTACCTGTAAATCCCCCGCCCCTTTCCATCCACGCCCACATCCTTAAATGCCTCTCTATCCCACGTAGGGACCCCCCCCCCCCCGCCAAAAAACAACATAGATTGCCCCTTCCCCTCATACCCAACATGGATGCTCTTTTGTTAATAAGTAACATACCCCCCCTCCCCCCCACGCCCATACATTCACGTTCCCCTCTCACCCCCACCCCTCCTCTCCTCTCTTCCTCCTCCTCCCCTTCCTCCTTCTCCCCTTCCTCCTCCTCTCACCCCCCATCCCCCCACCCTCTCACCTATCTTCCTTTCACCCTCCCTCTCCGCCTCTCCTTCCCCCTCCTTCTCCTCCTCCTCCTCTCCCCCTCTCAGCCCCTCCCTCTCCCCCCCTCTCC